GGCAATTCAGATTCAGCTCTAAATAATTCAAATTCAGTTTCTACTGACACAAATATCAGCCCATACCATGCCATAAGTTCAGGCAGCATTACATCAGAGCGGGTCTGTGTGTGGGAACCAGTGTTCAGCCATCACACACCTTCCCACCAGCACACAAACACTGGAACAGTCAGTTTAACATCTTTCCTTACATTTCATCTGTAATGATTCAACCTGAATTAGTGTCTCTGCCCAGAAGGGGACGGTTTTCCTGTTGTTTAATGACTGCAAGCTCAATATTAATCCACTGCGACATTTTAAGCACATGTGGTGGTTGCCAGCGAAGGCCCAGCTAACATACGTCTGTGTAAGTAATCTGTGACAAAATAAGACAAACCTTTCTCCAAACTTGAGCGACTTCTCTGTGGTCCAGAAACATGAACAAATGAGCCAACTCGAACACAGAGGTTGTTTCAAAAGGTAAAGCTCTGAGGCCGAGCTCTTCGTCCGACCTGGTGTATTTAGTAGTTTATGTAACTTGTGAATAGTAAGCAGATCATTAATATCTCTTAAAACATGAAGTGGATCCCCAGAAAAACACAAACTGTCCGTGCGTGTCCTCCAATGGACTGATTACTGCTCAGCTTTATCCTCAGTAGTTGTGGTTGGATGATCTTTGATGTGCTGTGAGTAAATATGTTGGTAATATAATAATAGTTATACTGATAACAGCTTTCAGGTGTGGGACGGTGTTAGAGAAGCACACAGTCACGCATTACGTCAGATTCCTGAGGGTTTAGATGTGTTTGATGGATGGACAGCTCCAGCCAGTCTCTCTGTTGGTCAAACACACAGAAACCTCCTGAGGGTCAGAAGACGTGTTTACTGAGGAGGAGGAGGAGGCCGAAGGTGAAGCTGTTTATGATCGATGAAGAAGCCGCAGTTTGGAGAGAGCTGTCAGACCTCCAGATGTCTGTAAGCAATCAGGGACAACATGATTGACAAGTTCAGGCTTCGCTTGTCAGGAAGAATTAGATGAGCGGAGCGGAGCAGGAATAACGCCTTCTGTGTTCCTGATTCATTGCGGAGGTTGATAACGTCACTGGGAGCTTGGCAGCGCCGCTCTCCACGCTGCTGATTTATTCCAGGTTTCACAACTCATAAACAAGATAAACGCTCGGTGCGGGGCCGATCTGAATGTCAATGAGCTAAAATGATGGGAATGTTCTCTCGTGCCGAGCGAGATACTGGAGACATGTGCGGTTCATATCCACTCACCTCCCTGACCTGAGCGGTCCGAGGCTCCTGCTGGAAGGTGTCGGTCAGCTGGCTGTCCACCAAAACCTCTGTGTGAGACAGTGTCCACCAAAACCTCTGTGTGAGACAGTGTCCACCAAAACCTAGTTGTTTTGTGTCTCTTTGTAGTTGTTTTGTGTCTCTTTGTAGTTTCTTTGCAGTTGATTGACTTTATAATAAACAACAGGATGGCGTGTTTGATGCCTGCATCCTCAGTGTCTGCTGCATTCACTGTCCGTCAGGTGTTTTATGTCGGAGGTTCTGAGGCCTGTTTGCAGTCTCACAACAGAAGAAGCTTTAAGAAACTGTGTTGAAGCTGGAGAGGACTGCGTGTTTGATCAAACTGCAGTGTCAGCGTTAATGTTTGCAGTGTGTGATCACTTTCTCTCTGTGTGTTTGCTGTTAGTCTGTGTTTCCTGCAGCAACATGGAGCCGAACCAGAGGCCTCTGCTGTTTCTCATCGCTCCTCCACACAGGAGGAAACATGAACTGGAAACTCTCCCTGAGAGCTGGACAACAACGGAGACCATAAATCCCTCAGCATGCTCAGTGTGTGTGTGTATGTGTGCTGAAATGAGACATCACATTTTAACCCCATGAGTCCAATATTCAATTGTGCATTGTGTTCTTTTTATTTTCCAATTTAATATTTTCTAAAGTCGACCTCATCGTTCCAAATCAAATCAACGCATGTTTTCTTTGAAAGGAAGCGTTAATATTTTCCTTCAGTGGGATTTCCTCTGCTCTACCCAATCTTACTGTAAATCTAATTTATTACATTCATAAGGTGAGACGATCTGAACCCAGCTACGCTGCCTTCCTCCTCGGCCCTCTGGGAGCTGGATTAGCTAATCGTAGTTAAATTGGCCAATAAGTGGCCAGAGTTTCACTTCAGTCTCTAACTGTGGAGTGAAAATGAGAGTCGCCCTGCGAATGATTTAATCTGCAGGGCCACGTGTCCCAGCCGACTGTGGGGATTCAACCTGAGACTCTCTGGCTGCAGTCCAATAGTGTGTTCTGCTCAGGAACGTTCCTGACTAAAGTAGTTCAGTGGCAGCAATGATAAGGAAAGGTGCTTCAATGCTTCCTTTCTTGTCTCCTAAGATACACAGGAGCATCCTTTACCAAAGGAAATAATGACACAAAACAATGACAAAGAAATGAATTCCCTCCAGCAGCAACATTTAAAGCTGCTGCAGTTTCACTCTGTAAATGTAGAAATAACACCTGTTTCATGTTTGTGACAACATCCACAACTTATGGAAATCCATAAATACAGATGTCTTCTCTTTCAAATCAAGTCAACCTAAAGAACAAGCATATTGAATTTCTAGTTAATATCATCATCATAACAAAATACTATTTACATAAATGTTGTTTCACTAAATCCCCTCATGTAATGCACTAAAACATTTATTTGCTGTACTCACAAATGTAGAAAAAGATCAAAGGGTCCATTCCAGGAAACTTTATATGCTTATATCTGATTATAATTGACTCTGGCTCTTTGCTCAATTATTGATTCATTATTCTAATGGCCCAATTTTAGTATTTTTTTATGTATAACTGAAAACATCCTTTGTCAGGAGGTATGATTCTCTGCAGCATTGAGCTTGTCACTGTCCTCATCTTCCATGTGTTATAAATAAAGTTTTAAAAAAGCTGCGGTCCGCTGTCTTCCTTACAAATTCTCCTTCACATGAAAAGCAGGACAAGACATGAAAGCAGGCAAATGTGAAATAGAAGAGAACCCAGTATTTTGCCTTGAGGAACTCCACATAGAGTTGCTGTGAGACTCCATGTCCACCACAACTTGTTCTGATTTTTTTGTTTCTCTCTCTGGTCATTTTGCATCTCTATGGTCATTACGTGTCTTTGCAGTTGTTTTTTGTCTCTATAGTTCAGAGAGACGAGTGGTGATCAGCTTGGTGACAGAGAAAGGTGTCATCTGCATAATGATTGAATTAAATATTATTGTATAATGCGGCCTAATGGAATTGTGGATGGATTGAGCCATGAGGGACTCTACATATCATTACGACAAAGATCTGAGACCCCAACCCAGTTTCCCAGTCGGTCCAGTATGGTCACCTGTGTCAGCACTAGACCTGAAATGTCCTCCCTCTCTCGCTGCGTGCAGTATGTGAGGCAGCAGGCGTGTGTGTGAGCCTCCTTCACAGAGTAAATAATCAGAGTAAACACAGGCTGAGGTGGCTGCTCTGCAGGTCCTGGTCTATTCAGAGCTGTTCTGGTCTCTGCAGTCTAAATATTAATCCCACAGATAGCAGCGCAGTGACCTGGATACACACACAAAGGCAGTCAGGTGGACAATAAGGCCGGGCTGCTGCTTTGTGTTTCCTGTGTGCTGTATCACAGTAATTTCCAGCACTGATAAGACAGACTGTCTTTACACAGAGATAAAGAGACACTGGCCTACTTCTCTCTCTCTCTCTCTCTCTCTCTCTCACCTGACTGCAGACACACTCAGGTCACCAGATCAATGTGGCCAATCAGCTCCGGGATCAATCTGATCTGTGACATCACCTGCTGTTTTTATTACAGTAACAATCTGAATCAATAAACTGACTCAATCTGGCTCTGACTTCGTTCAGAGCAGAGATACATCAAATGATTCATTCATTCTAATTGATTTATCTGCAGATTATCTTATCAGTTAGACAGTAACATGTCAGAAAGTAGTGAAAACTGTCCATCACAGATTCTCACAGTCCGAGGTCACGTCTTCAGAAGTCTTGTCTTTATCCGACTAAAAGTCCAGAACTCAGAGGTTCAGTTACTGTGCAGTAAAAAACAGCAGCAGGAGATGTTTGTCAAGTTCCCTGCTGAACGTGACAATAGATACAGGAAGATATAGACAATATTGTCTTTTAAATAATGTCTACATATCTCCATATATTTATAGTAAGTACCCAGTATCTCCAACTTCGTGCTGGAACCAGCTCACTTTGTCTTTGAGAGGCAAAGATAATAAAATATTCTTTAAGTCAGTATGTAAAGAAACAACTGCTCTGCAGCCACTTTTATTCACTCTGAGATAGACGAGATAAACAGCCCTCTTAATGCTGGCTATAGGTTGTAATGACTTTCTGATATCTGATATTATATGAACTTGGTGAATAACTCATCTTTGTGTAACACTGAATCCTGTAGGAATGAAGTGCAGTTATAGAGGGGTCTGTGGACTAATAATGCTAACACTCTGGATGCTATTGAGCTGCTGTTGTTTTAATAAAACAATCTTAATCAATAAAATGTTCATTAAAGCTTATTTAGAAGAGAAAGACATATATCAGCAAATGCTAAAGGTCCAACACATCGATATCAGACAGTAAAGCTTAATACACAGTTTATACTCTGACTGCATGTTGCATCTGTATCAATCAAATAATAAATGATGATTATAATAATAACATAAATAAATAATGGTATACAGTATTATACATACATACATATTATTATTGACAATATATTTATTTTAGGGATGTCCGATATTATCGGC